CAGCTCCGGAGCGGCGCAGGGCCGCGGGGCGCGCGCCCACCCACCGCCGCCCCCGCCCCGCCAGGGTTGACGAGGACAGCGCTTTGCACAACGACCTGCAGATCCTCAAGGAGAAGGAAGGCGCCGATTTCGTGCTGCTCAACTTCTCCTTCAAGGTGAGGGGCTCGCACGGTGCCGGCGCCGCAGCGGCACGAGGCGCCCCTCACCGCCCCGGCCTCCTTTTCTCTCCGKGCAGGATAATTTCCCTTTCGACCCGCCGTTCGTGAGGGTCGTGTCCCCTGTGCTCTCGGGGGGGTAAGTGGCCGCCTGCCCCTTCCCAACGCGCGCGTGGCGATTCCCGGGATGTGTCCCGAGGCTCGGCAGGGCCCTGGGGGGCCGGTTTGGGAGGGCCGCGCGGTGCCGGGGCTCTGTCACAGCCCGTCCCACRGTGACAGGGACCCCCATCCCGCTGCGGCAGGAGCTGGGAAGGGCGCGGCGGGCGGGATTGCGGGAGGGCGAGGGATAGGGAGCTGCGGAAAGGGCTGGGTGGGCGAGCGGTGCTTCCTAACGCGGCCTCTGCCCTCCCGAGGTATGTGCTGGGTGGCGGAGCCATCTGCATGGAGCTGCTCACGAAGCAGGTGGGTGCCGCGGGGCGCAGCCGCGCTCCCTCGGGCGCCCCGGCCCCGGGGGGCCGCCGCTGAGCCCCCCCGTCCGCAGGGCTGGAGCAGCGCCTACTCCGTGGAGTCRGTCATCATGCAGATCAGCGCCACGCTCGTGAAGGGCAAGGCCCGCGTGCAGTTCGGAGCCAACAAGGTAGGGGCAGCCCCGGGGGCTCGCTGGGAGCCGCGGCCCCGCGGCCGCGCTCACGGCCGGCCCCGCTCCCCCGCAGAACCAGTACAGCCTCACGAGGGCTCAGCAGTCCTACAAGTCCCTGGTGCAGATCCACGAGAAAAACGGTAAGGGCGGCGGGAGCGGCGGCGGCGGCGGCTCCGCGCGGCCCTCACGGCGCCCGGCCCCTTCCAGGCTGGTACACGCCGCCCAAGGAGGACGGCTAGCGCGGCCGCCGCACGCGCCGCTCCGGCCGCTTCCCCACGCTCCGCTTGGATCTTGGACGCCGCCTCTCTCCCGGCGTGYGATAGCTCTGCCTGTGGCGGGACAATAACGGCCGCTAGGAACTCTAAGGAAGCTGTTGGAGCAGTTGGACTGACCTAAAACACTTGCTGGACCCTTGCTAGCAGGCATTCTTATTAAAACAAACTTCGAGCCTCTTGTATCGCTGGAAACTTTCGACTCTACTCCAGTCTAGAGCATCCTCCTTACCTATGCTATGGATTTAATTTATTTTCTTATTTCATGTACACTGCTTTTTTTGTTACAGTGTATGATGGATGTGTATGGAAAATGTATCTTTGGAGAAAAAAAAATTACAGTTTGTTAATTTGAGGACGCTGCCCTGGCTCGTTTGTGTTCCGAGCCGGTGGCCGGGTGGGATTCTGCCCCCCGGGGCAGCGGTGGGAGCAGAGC